AATGCGTTTTCGTTCAAACTGTTCATTTTTATGGAATTGTTTAGAAGAAAAATGCTTTTGTTTTTTTTTTTCAACTCACAAACGAGGCACTTCCTCTTTGTTGATCAAAACCGAGGCATTTACATACTATGTTATACAAGAAACTGCAAGAAAATTTCCATGTTTGCAGACATTATGTAAAAAGTGCGACCTAACTCTTCTCTTATTCGTTTTTGATATGAAACAAACGTTTTGAAACGAGTTCGCGCTATCTTACAATCTTTGATTATCCATCGTACAAATATCTATAATATTATCTATAAAAGAGTAGAAACAGCGCCTTTCGCTTTTGATCAACAACGCTCAAGTAATTTCTAACTTGACTGAGTTCACTCGTAAAAACTTATTTTTGAAACTCATTGCACTCAAATTAAAGGGACCGTAGGTGTATGCGGTACCTGACGTAAATGCATGGAGATGTATATCCAAGAAAAGCACTAAAAATCTTCCTGTGTAATTTTATTTGGTAACATTTAAGGTGATATTAATGGACTTTTATGCGCCCAAGTAAAAACAGAGCAGTATCAGGTACGAGGTACCCGAGTCAAGCCATATGTGAGTACGATACACTTTTTAAAGGGTTTATTGACTAAATGATCCAGAAGTGAAGTTTAGTGGACCCATGCCATCCATGGAGGTAGAGATATACGTCGGAGGCAAAGCTCTGATGGTACGCGAGCAATCGAAAAGCCTTCACTGCCTTTGCCTTGGAGGTCACGGCCAACTTATCCAGTGCAACGATTACCTCAAGCAATTCAGGGATTTCCTCTACATCCAGTCCAGAATCAGCAAGCGGTACTTGTTCCCAGTATCACAGTGATTTGTTGAAGTAACTGAAACGATCACCTTAGTTCCAAGTCAATGGGGCAGTTGAACGTGAGCATCAACAACATCGGCCTGGAATGCAAAAACGAACACATGGCGTGAAAAGCTTGGTGGGATTTTCTCATTGACAAAGCTGTTTATATTTTAAGAAAACAAGAAGTTAGAGAGCCTTTCAGCTTTCTGGAAGCTTCATTACAAATTTCTTGCTATCCGTTGTTAGTTTAGGATTGTTTGCTACTCGCAAATTAGTACAAAGCTACTTAGTGTCCGTATCTATTTAAAAAACCTATTTGCTCTAATTTGAAAA